CACATATCCATCTAATATAAGATGCTCAGGGCGCATGATATGTAGCTAGGAATTCGATCAATGATTTTCTTCGCCCCTAAGGGTCCCTTCGTGTCTGTGCTACCCGGTAACCCGGTACCAGCAACTCTCGTCGTCCACCACAGGAGCTGTCTGTTCCAGTACACCGGGGTATCCCATGCTCGTCTCGAAAGATGTACTGAGTTCTTTATAGTGCACACGAGCCATTGTATACACTGGGCCTACGGTTTATAGTCCTTATCCGAGAAAATTTGTTCTACCACCAGAACCATAGGCGAGCGCAGGGACGTATCCAGGGGGGGGGGGCGTGGGAGCCGCGGCACCGCCCCCGCCCGTTGTACACAGTGTTAAAATTTTAAAGCTTATTCTTGAACCAATACAAATTCTTTCCTGGGATCACTCAAAATGAATACTTCTAAACATGCAAATATGCATCAGTACACGTTATACATAGGCCTAATAGAACACATAGGCCTAAGAGTGATTAAAAAAAATCTTAAATCCATAAATCTCAGGCCAGGTCTTTTAAGATAGAAATGCGATACTGTGGTTCAATTTCGTTTTTATCCTTTATTGCAAGTTTCTTTTAATGTTTGTTTAATAATACTACTGATAATAATAACAATGATGATGATGACGATAGTAATAATTGATAATAATATTAATAACAATAAAAAGTGAAGAAAATTGTGCTAAATGCGAAAAAAAAAAAGTTTTGATTTGTTGATCATACTATAGTATATATAGTTAAAGCTTAGTAAGCTATAATTAGGCCTACGTTATCCTGGATATTAAGTAGATCCCTGATAAATGATCATGAGAAATTTGTTGGCGTTTCATTTTGACTATAATGGTAATGTGATGATGATGAATTTTATTATATAAAAGTGTCATTTCCGGCCATCTCAAGAGGTACCATTTCCTCAAATTTTCTCACCTCAACCCCAGCCATGGTGGGGCTGAGGTGGTTGTGAAATCACGTTTTTGAAGTAGACCTATGTTAAGTACATACTCAAAGACAATGTTTTTAAGCTTTGTTTTCTATGATATATATACACACACACACATTAATAAGATCTCTATGGTTGTCAAAAATCCCTGATAAAAGATCATGAGAATTTTTTTTGGCACTTCATTTTGACTAATGGTGATGTGATGATGATGAATTACTAAGTGTCATTTCTGGCCATCTAGAGGTACTATTTCCTCAAATTTTCTCACCTCAGCTCCAACCATTGTGGGCCTGAGGTGGGTGTCGACTCACAAAATGCCTTCCCCTTCCACTTTTCAAAACAGGTATGTGCCCTTCCCTGGGTATGACATTAAACTCCATCGAATCGGCTCCTGATGTATGTCTTAGTGACTGCTGTTTGTTTTTAGGATGTGATCTGGTTTTTCATTTCCATTTTTCGTGATTATGACTATTCTGGCAGTGGATAAAGAATGTTTTGAGCAGCGGTGGATTTAAGCCCCCCCCCCTTCATTTTTTTTTTATGGAAAAAAAAAGAAGAAAAATATATTCAAATTGTGCGAGAGTGTAGGGTAATTTCCGGCCATCTAGAGATGCCCTAGTCATAAATTTTCTTACCTCAGCCCCAACCATGGTGGGGCTCAGGTGGGTGGTTCCTCGGTCTGTGAAAGTCCCTCCCTGGTTCACCCTAGCTCTTTCGAATTCCTGGATCTGCCACTGTTGATTTATTATATAATTATTTTTGCGCTTATTTATAATGCGTCTATTGCAATTTTCAATTTATCCTCTCAAACAGTCCTAAGAACGTTCAGAGTGCGCTACTTCACAGGGGGATTCGCCTCCTTGACCCCGCCGGGGTCCTACGTAATTTGCATAACGGCTCCCCCCCCCCCTTTCAAAATCCTGGCTACGTCCCTGGGCGAGCGTATCCAGCGCCGATATTATGGCTATAGCTTGCGGCGCCCCTGAAGGCCATAACCGGTCGACCATTCGACACGCCTATATAAACCTCTCGACCAAAGAAACAAAAAAATGGGCATCGTTTAACACAGCGCTCTGGCATTCAGTTATGTGTATGAGTGACAGTTTCAGTCATTTCAAAAATTTACTTTCATCAAATATGTTAGCCATTCCTTACTTTTTATTTCTTAAAGGTGGTGTGTAAGATATGCGTTTCAAATAAAGTTAAACTAATTCAAATGATTGTTCTTTTAAACTATAGGAGCAAAAATGAGCTGGACAATACAAAAGACTTCTGAATTAAAAAAAATTATTGATAATAACCACGTAAATGAGCTCAGAACAAAGAAATGTTTATGATGTCATTTCAATCATTGCCCCGTGTGCCTAAAACCCTAGTTTCGCCCCTCTTTAAAAGATTGATAGTATGCCTTTAAAACATAAATAATCCTTAGGAATCAAGTGGTTTTGCCCCTTGGCCATTAGCCAGGATCATTGGCAACCATTTCTTAATCAGCTAATGTTGGGGTACCCTGATTCTACATCAATCGGCACTATGTGTCACAAATAACTTACCCGAACGAATACATTGCTTTATTGTGAGATCACTGACAGGTGACTGGAGCATGACTTTCATGGAAAAAATTATAGGTTAAGTTATAACTCTAGGTAAAATAAATGCACACCAGAAAAAAATTAATTGTTTTGATCTGAGTGTCCTCTAAATTTGAAATTTATTTTATTCTTTTTAATGAGGAAATCAATGTTACAACATATAATATTTGGACTTTTATAGATTTTACAACAAAAATATTCATCTGCATTTACTCTATTTCCGCATCGCTTGTACCTCCTTAAGTATTCACCTGCATTTCAAGATCCTTCTTTCCAACCAAACTCATCAAATACCACCTAGCAAAGGTCTATTTGTTTGACTAGGTTTTTAAAAACTAAATGGATTGTGGCTGCGAAATAAAATTATTAAAACTTGTTAACATGAATTTGTCATAGTCAACATTAAGAGACTTAACAGGGGTGCAGTGGTGGCGCCAGGACCTGCCCGACGGAGGGGCTAAAGGCTCCGACGGAGGGGCTAAAGGCCCCGACGGTGGGGGGGGCTAGTGGAGCGAATCGAGTCTCACTTGGCTGGGGGACGCCTAAGGCCCCCGGGGGGGGGGTTCCCGGGTATTTGATGAATTATGGCGATTTTTTATTACTTATTTGATAGGCATCGAGTCACTATAATATGACATCACGTAGGCTATGCTTTCTAATGTTGAAATCAGCTTCCAAAACCAAAACATTTTGAAAAAAGCAAGAAACAAAGAGTATGCAATGTAACCATCTAATTTATTTTCAAATCCTCATTCTTGAAAGTGAAATTA